GCTGAGTGTGGATCTAGACTGCAGGTCAGATTTCGGTCCTCAGGCTTCATTTTGGAGTCCAGGCTAAACGGGCAAAAGACACCTAACCATGTACTTTTCAGGGTGATGGCAGTATCACAAGAGCACAAAACCCAACCACATAAACACATTTCAAACCTCTGCTTGTACCACATCTACCAGCATCGCATCAGCCAAATCAAGTTACTTGGCTAAGCCCAAAATCAAGGAGCAGGGATGTCCATTTCACCTACATTGTGGCCATGGCAAGACTAAGCATATATATACTTCTACCATGGGAGCAATAGTTCAACAACAGGCACAGCATATATTCTCAAGCTCTGAGTGTTTCCATGGGTTTTAATGACATTAGAAGACATTCTTTTGCTATGATGACCATTGTGGGTTTTGTATAGTAAAGACTGATGCTGCAGCCACACCATCCATACGTCAAAAATCTTCTGTCTGTCCATGTTGTGCTTTGATTTCTCAGCCATTCCTTACATCACTTCATAAAGTTCTGAGTCAGCGCACCCAGCTTTTGTTTTGAGAGTTCACATTAGTCACACTCTTTCACTCTGTGAGCTCTGAGTCACTTGAGTAGTATTCAGACTTCTGGGGGGAATTCAATGCAGTGTTGACATTATTACTGGTGAAGTTGCCTTGGACCCCAGACTGCAATGGTTTCTCAGCTCTTTCCCCTCCTGATTTGACTTCCTTGTCATAGGCATTACTTCTAGAGAGCACCCTGCCTGTCTGCTCTGTTTACAGCATGGAGAGGAAGCAAAGCTGGTCAGATTAATCCATAGAGGGGAAACATAGAGCAAGAAGGGTCCTCAAACTAAAGACATAGGCCTTGTGGAGGCCTTGAGGCAGGAGGCAGAGTCACAGATAACTGGTGGCCACTGCAGAAGCCTCCAAGCATTTGAAGGGTCACTGTCTCGGTGACCAAATCGCTGAAGATCACATTTGAAGGGGTCACTGTCTAGGTGACCAAATTAACTGAAGATGAAGGCCCTTGGCCAGTTTGGCCTGAAGAAAATCAGGCCCAGAGGGGACCTGGGAGTTGACCACAAACATAGAAAAGACATAACCTCATTACTTCTGTCATTCATTCAGTAAATAATTATTTGAGTCCTATCTTGTGCCAGGCATACTGTTCTGTGTATTGGGAATTCAGCTCCACATTGGTCTCTATGCTGATGGTGCAGAGACTGAATGGGATTCTCTCTGCCCCTCCTCCACTTGTGCTTTCTCTCTCTCAAAAGAAAAAATTTAAAAAAAAAACATATTGCAGGTTTTTATGCATCATACTTTTCAGCACCTCAGAGAACAATAAAAGTTGGTTGGATGGTACCTGATGGCTTTTCCAGGCCTGCCAGTCTGTGTGATTGCATTTCAGACTCTGAGCCATTGTGTTTTTTTTTTTTAATTTTTTAATGTTTTATTCATTTCTGAGAGAGAGACAGCGTGTGCAGGGGAGAGTCAGAGAGAGAGGGAGAACAGAATCCGAAGCATGCTCCTGGCTCTGAGCTAGCTGCCTGCACAGAGCCTGATGCGGGGCTCAAACCCACAAATGGTGAGATCATGACCTGAGCCAAAGTCAGATGCTTCACCAACTGAGCTACCCAGGTGCCCCTGAGCCATTGTTTTTAAAGGGCTTTGCAGACTGTGGGATGTATGAAGGGTGCTTATGGGGAGGAAAAGCAGGATGGGCGACGGCAAACCTAAGTCAAGGGGAAGTGCACAGATAACCTCTGGTGCTGGAGACCAGGGTGTCGGAGGCGCGCTGGCTCCGCTGGCTCCGACAGGTCCAGGGGTCCCTGAAGGATGGACGGTGTCGGCGAAAGAGAATGAGAGAGCCCCGAGATTCTTTCTGATCACCAGGCAGGCATCTCTGTCCTGTCGGTTTTGGTGTCTGTATTTTAAGGTTCAGCAACAAGATGAAGTTATAGAAAGGAATTTCTTACAACGGGAGGCCTTTTGTGATATCAATTAACAGAATGTTCATAGTGAAAAACAGCATAACATACAAGTTAAATTGTATATAGATAAGCTAGGAGTTATTCTGTCTGGCCCTTAAGAAGATAAATGTTTCTGAATTGGTTTATATGTGGAAACTAACATGGGGGCCCTAAATTGTCAGTCTTTGCACCTGGGTTTATGTTTTAGCTACTCTTATCTATCCTCATCCCAGTTGCCAGTGTAAGGGAGGGTGTTTGTGGAATGTAGGCCTTGAGGAAGGGACTGCTATGCTTTACCAATTAGCAAAGATATATGTAGTAGCTATGTTTTGCTCTTAACCCCAAAATAGGCTCTTTGTCTCAGGGCCAGGCTCAATTGTAACTCTTGTGTTCTTAACCCCTGAAGTCTTGGATCTGCAAGGCCCATAGGAAGAGCCTTTTGACAATCATCCATAGAGCTTTCATCTAAAATCTCTCTTGCAAAGGCAGAAATATGCTTTTCCCTATGGGGTATCTGTGTTCAGAATATGGGTCTGATATGGAATATTGGGAGGCCTGGTCAATACCAGCTGTCTTATTTCCATCATGAGCTAATGGTAGCAGAAGGAGATTCCAGTTTTCATTTCTCATGGGAGGAGCTGCAAACATTGTCACTTCCTTGCCGTGATTGCCATCCAGAGAGGCCGGCGCGGCTCCCGGCACCAGGGGGCTCTGAAAATAAAGGTGAATTGTTTTTGAGATGTCTAGAGTTCTAATTCTATTAAAGGTGTTTCCCTAAAAACTAAAGGTACAAGACGTGGAAGACCTGTTCCATCCCAAGCATGTTGCCTTTGCTTTGCGGTCAGCCTGGTCAACAAAGTGTTCATAGGTCTTTCTTTAGACTTTCCTGGGGAAAACACCATGAACAGCAGTAGGGACTCCTGTTAAGTGTCTCGAAAACCTTTTTTTTTTTCTTAGAGAAGTTAACCAGTGACTATATTTTTTCATACAAAGGGTTCTGTGTGGGCACAGCATTATTTTGTGTCCCCAGACATCAACCCGGCAGTAATGCCACATCCCCCTGAAGTTTAGCAGGATTGCCAACAGCAATAGGTTGGCTGACAGGGCCCACCTTTGCCACCAGATAAGACAGTGAGACATGCTATTAGATTTATTGAACAATCAATACAGAGAGATAGTAGGTAATTGCAATGATTTTATTTCATACTTAGCTTTAGTTTATTTCAAACAAAAGCGAGTGTTCTTAATATTAAACATGCACATATTTATGTATATATGTCTTTCATGCTTCGTAGTCTATAAGTTGCTTTCATTACGAATTAGAAGAAGTAGAGTTCGCTTCATGGCAACCTAGAAAAATAATAACAGTTAGAATTTAGTAACTTATTAATTGTGAATATATTGACATCTATTATCTCATTTACTCTTTATATCAATACTAGCAAGTAAATACTATTGTTGGTATTGTTTCACAGTTGGGGAAACAGGCTAGAGAAAGTGTCTGTCCCATGGTCATGTAGTTAATAAAAGCAAACTCAGTTCTTGACCCCAAGTGTATGCTCTGAATTCAGATGTACATGACATTGTAGTGTTTACACCCAAAGGATGGTGTCATTACCTTTCAAACAAATGGTAGAATAATCACTGTTATAATTTCAGGGGCAAGTCATTTAAATAAACAGATCTACATTTCCTGGCAGATGACCTCAGTGTCACAGGGAGATACTGGAAATGCAGAGAAATGAACCCAGATCTAGGGATTTCAGCTACTAGGTGTCCGTTCTTTCTCCAGACACTGGAGGGGGCACATTCCCTTGCGGCATGTTCTCCACAAGGGAATATTATATATATATATATATATATATATTTACTATATAGGCCCACAGAGAGTTATAAAGTGCAATACCCAGTTTTCCTTCTCCCATGTGACAGTAAAACGGCAGTCACCTTCTTCCTGAAGTCATTTCACTGCTCAGGCTTAAGTTCCCTGTGGTGATGGCCAAAGGCTTCGGAGCCAATACTGGTGGGACCGAAGGTGTTTTTCACCACGTGCTCAGTTCTGGCTAGCAAGCCTGCCAGCCGATGGGTCACACAGGGGGCAGAGATGCAGGAGCTCTTCTGGGCAGTAATGCTGATTTGCAGGATGGAGGTAAAGAGGCCTGTGTGTGAGGCTATCTAGGGGAGATCCCATCTGCCCCCTGGGTTACTCATGGTAAAATTGTTGCTCTGAAAGGCACCAGTTAACTTTACATCTTTCCCCTAATCACAATTACCACTGCAGAAATAGACAGGATCTCGGGGGAAATGCCATGCTCACTCCCACAGACATTCCCAGGGGTGTCAGAAAACCCAGGGTGGCTCTGAGTGAGTGTGGAATACAGAGCTGTAACAGCCTCTCTTTACTGTATAAACAAACTAAAAATCAAGAAAGTCTTATGAGACACAGAGAATCATGGCCCCAAACTGACCCTAACCCAAGGATTGTCTCGAAGTCACCTTCACCTCAAAGGCATCAAATACCCCTTCTTAGACATATAAAAATTCCCCAGACTTACCTGGAAGAAGAGGGAAATTTATAGCATTGAATCTCAGAGGTGCTTACCTGTTCCTTACAGCTCCTTTTCTTCCTATTTGATGTCGGTCACAGGGACTGCCTACTACACCCTGCACCCAGCTACCACAGGGCTGAGGCTACTTCTAAGCACAGGTCCCTGATTCTGTGAAGCCATCAGTGTGGCCAGAACAATAACTACCACCACTCAGGTCTTCTTAGAAATTGACTTTTATTCCCTAAGGCAAACACGTTCATAAGCAGGACTGAGAAGTCGTGCTGTGATTCCTCAGGGGAGTACACAGGGCTGCCCCCCTATCTGTTCCTGCATGATTCTCTTCTAGCCTATTCCTCTTACTGTCTCCCATCTGAGGTTCCAGACATCCTCTGCCACAAAGGAAAGCCACTGATACCAGCAACCAGGGAGGATGACACATATCATGATATAGGAAGGAAGGAAGAAAGGACATTAGAAAAGAGGGAGGGGTTTAATAGGCATCCTGAGCCATGCCATCATGAGGGTTGTGGTCTCTCTCCAAGTTGCTGGCCAAGACCCTTTTCTTGCCGGGGGCTCCGACCCCAACTGCAGTCTGAGGGAACGTGTGAAACTTGTTGAGGTCCTGTGTGTATGCGCCCAGCACACAGGTGCTCAGATTACTGCACCGTTTATTTCGGAAGCTGTCCAGGCTGCAGGGAAAAGACATGCCAGGTGGTACCATGCACCAGGTCTGCCCCTGTGGTGATCGCACAGAAGGTTAGACTAGGGAGGGGGCACTCTCATTGGGGGCGGGAGGGGCGGGCAGGAGGGCAGCTCACACATCCTCCATTAGGAGAACTCAGTGGTTTGCTGAGCCAGGGCAGCTTGGGGAAGGGCTGCGGTGGGGAAGGGGTTCCTTTTCTAGCCTTCCACATGCTGCTCAGTCCTTCATGCTCTGCAGAGAGGTCCTTAGGGTAGATGCAGGTGCAGCACAAGCCAGGCAGTGTCAGGGCCAGACCAGGGGCTAGAGCGAGCTCCAAGCTCAGGGGACACAGGAGATGGGGCTGGGGAAGGGTGTCTGGCCCCATGATAACATGCATGTCTCTGCGGATCCTACACATCTCAAGACCCCAGACCTACTTCAGATACTGCACCACCTGACCCCACCCTCTGCGAGGCCTTTGGCTTCACCTTGCAAATGTGCAATGAAGCCTCCTTGTGGGTGTGAGAGACCATCAGGTGCAGGTTTACAAGGAAAAGCCAATATCTAAAACCTCCTGAGATCTATGGGGTCCATCTGCTGGCCTCACATGTACCAGTCCTAACTCCCCCAGTGCTGCAAAGTCTCCTCAGTACAGTCAGACCAATTTCCAGAGGTAGGGATTTCATACCTTCCACAATGCCCTTTAGAAATGAATCTTTTTCCATGTGGTCTAACCAGTCTGTGTGACCTCTGTTTTCAGTGGAGCCTGAGAATAGCTGGGACCCAGGATGAAATGAGCTATGGCAGCGTTCTGGCCTCCTGTACAGCTGTGTTCTCTGTTACCACTTGGGATATCTCTTTCTGGCCGTGACAGGAGGGAGGGGATGCCCTGAGCTGAGTGGAGTGGGGGTCCTCACCTGGAACCCTTGGCCTCCTGCTGCAGCTCACTGGCCTTCATCTTCACATAGTCCTTCACAATTGCAGTCAGGAGGAGACACAATTCCTCCTCATTGAGCATAGCAGGGTCCTGAGGACTCTCCATAGCAGACCTAGGGAGGGAAAGAAAACACAATAAGAGCTCTGAGTCCCTGCCTGCCTCTCTCCAAGATAAGCAGCCAGGCTTCCTAGTAAAAACAACAGAAGCATTCTGTGACATTCAATGAGTTACCTGAAAATTATAATAAAAAATATTGTGTATCAGTGCTATTTTTTAATTATGTGCTACACATCTTCTATCAGAAAACATATACCCCCCTCAGCCCCCTCACCAGTTAGTGACCTTTCAGCACACTACAATTCTGAGAATGGAATTGTTTGATCCCAGGAGCAGTGGGAGAGGAGAGACCTCCGGGCAGGGCTGGCTTACCTGATTGGTGCTGCCTGGAGCATGCCCACCTGGTACATGGCCAAGATGCTAAGAATCAGGAAAGGAGAGAACTTCCAGAAGCCCATGGCGCTTCTCTGCAAGGGAAAATAATGTCATTTTCTGCACCAGTTTGAAGTTCCATGAGCCCAAGAACCTGGGCTCTAGCCTGTTTCTTTCTGTAACTCCCTGGCATGGTGGTTTCAGGCTGGCAGTGCCATTCCTTTCCCCATTGTTTCCTCACTGGGGAAGTGGACTGTGGAAAGATCCAGTGAGACTGTAGCAGGCTATCCTAGCAGGACACTGAGGGAAGAGGACTCAGTGCTTAGCCCCGTCCCCACCACCTTACACACTCTACATTACCTGCCGGCCACGTCTGCATTGAAGACAATCTCGGAACGCCCTGTCACTAAGGCTGCTCCTCTATCCTACCCAGGATGGCACTCCGTGTTAGGGCTTTTGATCATACCTGGCTATCTGGAGGGTCGGGAGGTATGGCTAAAAAGGGAGATCTCTGCCTTTGGAATCTTAGAGAAACTGAAGAAACAGCTTCTATTGCCCACCTGCTCCACACTCCAGCTGAGAATGCCCTGCAAGAACCAAGTTTAGCAGAGTCTTCAACTGGAGCCAGGACTTAAACCAGGAAAAAAGCTCCCAGGACTCATTACTGGAGCTTGCCTTTCCAGACTACCAGCCCCTAGTCATTGCACCTACTTGCCACCCACTGGCACTGGTCCAGGTTCCGAACCAATTTCCCAGGGACCATGAGGCACAAAACATGACCCGTGAGCACCCTTGCATCCTACTGTGTATGCGGTGCCTGCAGAGTCCCAGCGTCTTGAGTGCAACTGCAGCAAGAGACAGCGAAACTGGTGGAAAGAATAAAGTAGGAAGTTTCTGAACTGAGACAGTTCAGCGTTACCTGTGGCATGAATAGCGAGTAAGAGATTTTGTGATGAAGAGACCCAGACAGAGTGCCCAGTGAGTCTGAGATGGGGAGGAAGAGCAGATACAAGAACAACCGATGCAGAAGAGGGAGAGAAGAAAAGAAAGAGAGAGAATCATACAGCTAAGGCAGGAATATCGGGGCTCACCTGGCAGCAGGAAGCAGGTAGATCGGAGGACCGGTGGTGGCAGCTGCGGCAGTGCTGGCGTCAGGCGATGGCTCTGTGGAAGTGTCGGGGACACTTGAGCAGAGCAGTGGCTCTGATGCCTCCCAGCACCAGCAGCTGCTCTTATTCCCGCCTCTCTGGGTCTGGGGTGGTCCAGGAGCTCTGAGCAACCAATGAGGGAAAAGATCACATACCCCAGATGGATTGTGTCACCCATTTGCGTCTGGAACCTAGAACATTCGGCAGGACCATCCCACTTGTATTTGCATTGAGGTCATTAATGCAAATGGAGAGAGGGTGAGGGATGGGACCAAGAAGGAAGATCCTTATAAAGTGAGCAGGAAGTTGAGGGCAGTTTGATGTCATGGTAAATTTCACCTGTGCGGTTCCGCTAGGCTTTGAACGTGTGCCCACTCTGTCTTTAACTACGTGGTCTATGGGCAAGATCCGGGATGCAGGGAATCCTGGCTTCTCAAATCTGACCCTAACCACCTACCCCCACACTCCCGCCACCGCCCCATCCAAGTGAGGCTTGGAGGGTTAACATGCAACAGTATGGATTCTGGGCTGTAACCCAGAGCTCCCGGGAAGTAAGAGATAGAAATGACAGCAAGAACTTTGTCAGAACTCAGTTCCAGCTCTGCCAATTCCAGGCAGGAGAATCTGGGTAAATAACTTCGCAACACCTCAATGTACTCATCTTTAAAATGGGGACCTTATTCCCATTTTGACAATGTGGTGTCTTTAGTAACCATGTACCTGTCCCCTAACAAGGTAGAGATTTAGAAGAATGCTCAGGCCTAAACGGAGGATTCTGTGAAATCGCGATCTGTTTTTCTTATTTCCACCGTGTGTGGCTTCCTAGACTCGGGCTGAGTGGTCCGTTACCTGGGTGAGGAGGAGCAGAGAGCCGCGCCCACCTCTGCCTGAGGGTGCAGGGCGTCAATGCTTCCCAAGTCTCCAAACAAACCTCTAGCCCTTCCCTCTTCCTATGGTGCCATCCATCACCTCTGGGTCATCAGCCTGCTGGAGCCATTTGCCCAGCTGCCCCTTGCTTCCGGCTACTGTTTGCCAAGTTGTCCAATGACTGCAGCCCCAGCCCTGCACCCGCATCCCCACACTTCAGCCCTCCTCTAGAGAGCAGACACGCTTAAAGGTACTGAAGAGTCCCTGCAAACACTAATGCTCACATTCAAAGCTTTCACACACACAAACTCATTTCTGTCTCCATATCATGTGCCCCGTACCCAGTCCCCAGAGCACAGACAGGCACAGAGGGTCTAATATATGGACCATCCATGTAGGTTTACTCCGAATCGCAGCCCAACTCTGCCTCCAAGTCTGTCTCCTAAGATCGAGTGCACACATGATGCTGTTCTGCTCTTATCATATCTGCACTCACTCTAATCTTTCAAAAAAATTTTTTTGGGGAGAACACAGGCAGGGACAGGGCAGAGAGATGGGGACAGAGGATCTGAGGCGGACTACGCGCTAATAGGCTGACAGCATTGAGTCCGATACGTGGCTCGAACTCACAAATCGGGAGATCGTGATCTGAGCCAAAGTCAGATGCTCAACCAACTCAGCTTCTCAGTGCCACAGCACTCACTCTCAATTTTAAGCGTGCTCCCTAACATGTAATTATGCAGCACCTCGACCCTCTCTAAGTCCCATCGCAACTGGAGGGTTTTAGGACCTCTCCACGGATCTTTCGCTCCTCTCCTGCCCCGAGGTCCAAGGTCCTGATTGCTGCCCTCAGCACGGAGTGTGCAAAGCTTCTCACAGTTCCCAGGATCTCCGGGTCTGAGCGAGCAGCATCTGAGCCTCAGCCTCTACGCACTTTCCCAGCGCGTCCCAGCGCGGCAAGCGTGCCCGTGGCGGCAAGTCTGGTATTCCAGCCACAGTGGGTGGGGACCCCATCACGGGCTGTGGCTGGTGGGCAGAGACCCCAGTTAGGTGGTTCTCCCAGGCAGAGCAGAAAGCCTGCCCTGGTACGTTGTATATAATCCGAGCAACGTACCCGGGCAACAGTGCATCCCTCTCCTCAGTCCCCAGAAGCCTTTGCGTTTCAGAGAACACACCTGCCTTCTTCCACATCTCTTTCTCATCCACTTTTGTGCCTCTGTGTTGGGGACTCCTAGCTTCCAAGATGCCTCTAATCAGGTTTCCTCTCGCTTAACTCCTGGTGCTGCCTTCACCTTGAGGGAGTAAGTTCGGGACTCAGGAATTGGGGTCTTAACATTCGTTCTCTGGGGCACCTGGGTGGCTCAGTCAGTTAAGCGTCCCATTTCAGCTCAGGTCATGTTCTCCAGGTTGGTGAGTTGGAGCTGGGGTGGGGCTCTGTCCTGACAGCTTGGATCCTGGTGCCTGCCTGTGGTTTGTGGTACTGTATGTGTGTGTGTCTCTCTCACTTTCTGCCGCTACCCCGTTCATCTCTCTCTTTCCGAAAATAAATAAATAAAGTCGCTCTCCTCATGGCAGACTGGCATGGCGGTGAGTTCTTTCTTCTCGTGTAAACTAGAAAACTATTCTCCTCTGAGTCTATCCCTGATTTACCAAATATTCAAGAAAATTTAGACGTTTGTGTGTGCAGATTGTTTAGATTATGTCCAGCTATCACCCAACTTAAGGCTAACATGTAAATCGCCAAGGAAGGGGCACCTGGGTGGCTTAGTTGGTTTCGTGCAGACTCTTGACTCCTGGTTTTGGCTCAGGTCACGATCTCACGGTTCCTGGGTTGGAGCCCCCCATTGGACTCTGGGCTGACAGTGCCAAGATTGCTAGGGAGTCTCTTACATTCCATCTCTCTCTGCCCCTCCCCTGCACATTCTCTCTCTCTCTCTCTCTCTCTCTCAATAAAAAAATAAACTTAAAAATAAATCACCAAGGAAAATACTGATTTTAAACTAGCAATGTGACTATTTTGCTCTTGATTTTGTAATCTTATGTCTTAACTTGGCAATAGAATCCCATGTGTTGGGCACCATCCGCATCGGAACTCGTGTCCCCCAGGGTTTTGCCTCATAGCCACAACCTCAACTGGGGTGATGGTAGCAATGTCTCCTCCCGGCTGTCAGTGTCTAAGTCCCCTGGTTCATGGCTGGACACAGAGCCCAGCACCAGGTCCCACAAGATCATCTCGCAACAAAGCCCTGAACATTGCTGCCTGGCAGGCAAAGTGAACAAACCACAGAAGTGCACTCTCAAGGCAGTTCAGAAGATCAACAGCCAACAACTTCCTGATCATCTTCTGAGGCAGTTCCAGTCCGCTACACGCGGCGGTCAGGGGACCCCTACCGCCATCACCGCCATGGTGGAAGGTCTCTACCGGTACAGCTAGGACTACAGGTGCCTCACAGAGGCGTCACTCAGATCCCTGACAAGACCGTGTCTGTGAGCGTAGTGATGCCTCAGCATAGGGGCACCTCTAGCAGAGTAAGACCCCCTCACCCCGCTCAAGAAGGACCGTGGCACCCCTAGTACTCTCCAGTCTAGTAGTCTGCAGGCTGTGCCCCTAGCGATCGGACGGATGCCCTCGCGGAGGACCGATTGAAGGACAGTCCGTTGGTATTCCTGGGTCCTGTGTGTGACCAACTTTGTCTAGGTGGGGCTGGAGTCCCCACTAACTTTTGTCCTGTCCTGCTGTGTTAGCTGCGCTGGGAATCTCAGCGAGTCAGGGATAACTCAGTCCCGCTGAATATCCTCTCATTCTCCTTGAACAAAATAATTTAGAGAGAAAAAATAAATCCTAAACCATTTTCTGCTGAGCTCATGCCTGATTATCAAGCAAAACCAAGTAACAAGTTCAGACCTCTCTCTGCACGGATCGCTTAAACGGAGACAGGCAATCCTTGATACTTCTCTGGGCTTCTCTTGGGATCTCATGCACACACAGCATGACATCGATCAGCTCTCACCATACCGGCACTAACTCTCAATTTTAAGCGCACTCCCAGAACACAATTATGCAGCACCTCGACCCTCTCCAGGACCCAACCCACCTGGAGGGCTTTAGGACCCCTCCACCTGATCTTTCTACTCCAAGCTTGCCGAGAAGGTGGGAGGTTCTGACTTGCTGCCCTCAGCTGGTAGAGTGCCTAGAAAGAGGCTGCTCCCTGTTGCCAGAATCTCCCCTCTGAGAGCACAGTGCATGATCCTCAGGCTCTACACTCTCTCCTAGCACCACTGCAGGTGCCTCAGAAGCCAGGGGCTGCAGATACCCCGCCCACAGTGCGGGCTGTGAACGTGTTTGGTGGGCTTGTATCACGGGGCTGTGCTAGCAGGCAGAGACCCCAGCCAGGCAGAAACCAACCCGTGTATGCCGAGAGTATGCCGTGAGTGACCCGAGCCACAGTGTACCGCTCTCCTCAATCCCCAAAAGCCTCAATGTTTTAGGACACATCTGCCTTGAGCCACATTTCATCCTCTTCCAGGTTGGTGGCCTCTGTGGTCAGGGACACCTTGCTTCTAAGATGTCTTTGTATGGAGGTCCTCCTTTTTAACTCTTAGTTTGCTCTGCCTTGAGGGAATAGAAGCTTGGGGCTGGAGAACTCTGTGCAGGGAATACTGGCAAGGCTGCGGGGAAACCCGGGAATCGTTAATAGGATGCAAGTGTGCTTAGGCACAGAGTAAAGAAAGGTGAGCAGAACAAGGGACAGGGTGGATCTCAGGCTCCGCGAGTGCGTGCCAGTGCTACACACAGACCACCCCTGCTGACCCCATCTAGGACCTTGGCTTTATTTTAAAGCTCTCAAGCTTTATTTTAAAGGTTTGTCTCTCTGCAGATAGATCAATTGAACAGAGTAGAGAGCCCAGAAATAAGACCACAATTATATGGTTAATTAATCTATGACAAAGGAAGCAAGTATATGCAATGGGAAAAAACAATCTTTTCAACAAAAAGTGTTGGGAAAACTGGACAGCTGCACGCAAAAGAATGTCCCTGGAGCACTTTCTTACACCATACACAAAAATAAATTCAAAATGAAATAAATGCCTAAATGTGAGACCTGAAACCATAAAAATCCTTTGAGGGAGGACAGGTAGTACTTCCACTGACATCAGCCATAGAAATATTTTTCTAGATATGAGTCTTCAGGCAAGGGAAATGAAAACAAAAATAAACTATTAGGACTACACCAGAGGAAAAATATGGACAGTGAAGGAAACAATCCACAAAACTAAAAGACAACCTACTGCATGGGAGAAGATATTTGCAAATTAGTATCCAAAATATAGAAAGAACTTATACAACTCAACACCAGAGAGCAAAGAATCCAATTAAAAAATGAGCAGACATTAAAAAAAGTTCTCCAAAGAAGATATACATATGGCAAATAGACACGTGAAAAGATGCGCAACATCACTAATCACCAGAGAAATACAAATCAAAACCACACTGAGATACCACCTCATACCTGTCAGAATAGCTAAAATCACAAACCCAAGAAACAACACATGTTAGTGAGATTGTCAAGAAAACCTTCACTCTTGGAGGGAATGCAAAATGTCACTGTGGAAAACAGTATCGAGGTTCCTCAAAACATTAAAAATAGAATTACCATATGATCCAGTAATTCCACTACCCAGTATTTACCCAAAGAACATGAAGACATTAATTTGAAAAGATAAATGCACCCCTGTGTTTATTGCAGCATTCTTTACAATAGCCAAATATACAGGTAACCCAAGTGTCCATTGATAGGTGAATGGATACACAAGATGTGGTATATAGATACAATGGAATATGACTCAGCCATAAAAAAAAGAATGAGATCCTGCCATTTACAACAACATGAGTGGGTCTAGATGGTATAATGCTAAGTGAAAAAAGTCATTCAGAGAAAGATAAGTGCCATACACTTTCGCTCCTATGAGTAATTTAAAAATCAGAGCAAACAAAGAAAATGGGAGAAACCAAAACATAGACTCTAAACTTTAAAGAAATAAATGGTGCTTGCCAGAGGGGAGGTGGGTGGGGAGATGGATGAATAGGTTCTTATTGTGATGAGTAATGAATAGAATTGTTGAATCACTATATATATATATCCCTGAAACTAATATGTAAACTGTATGTTCATTATACAAGAGTTTTAAAAATAATACAGTTGTTTTAAAACAAAATAAAATAGCTATTTGACCTTTGATATTGTGATCTTATTTCATAACTTTATACCTGGAAATCAGGGTACATTAGAAACAATCTAGTTTGGAAAAACAATTTTACAGCAAGCTGATAAACTCTACCTGTAATATTTATTTCCATTCTTTTAAATCAGATTCCTACACTTTTTTATTTAAGGTTTTTTAAAAGATGATTTATCAGGGGTGACAGAGTCTTGTACCTGGATGAAAATTCTTATGTGAGTTTTTATGCACTTAAAAGGATTACAGCTAATGGGTTCCTCCTTTAATTGTACACAGTTGTGTGTGATAGACTCAGCAGAGACACCAAAACCACCACAACAACTGCAGGGTGGTAGCAACAACACCACAAATTCATTCTCTCTAACCTGGGGGAGGCTCAGAGCAGACAAATTACGTGGAGAATCTCAGCTGAAAATGGATTGCACTGGGTTCCCCCATGGAGGGACATTTGAAGTTCTCACGTGTCCTAACAATAAGTGAAAAGCTGCAGAGACTGTGGGGAAAAGTACAACTCTTCTAGGATCCTTAAGAGAGGTGAACACAGGGCAAACCATTGCCCCCAAGATTGGAGAGGGAGATGAATACAGGAAGAATGTCTTACCAGAGCAAACACTGAAGAAGGGCAAAGCTCAGTGCTTGGAGCCAGTGCTGGGGTAGGTCACTGGCGAGCTGTTAGAGCCTCAGTGTGGACGACCCTGAGAGTTAAAAACTCCAGGGACAGACACTCATTCATAGGAGACTCCCACAAGGGTGCATTTTACCGACTTGACCAGGTTCTCACAGTACATATGAGAGAAAAATCCACTGGTGGGATTTGTTTCCTGGAGCTATACCCAGTTCTCAGAATAAATAACTGAAAAATCCCCTAGTGTTCCTAGAGAGGGAGGGAAAGGCACCTTTTTTTTTTTTTTTTTTAATATTCCAG